TTCGGCTGCCGGAGCCCTGGTCGGGGAGGGGAGGGAAACTCAACACACTCCCTTCCAAGGAGCCCCAGCCAAGACAGCCAGGCGCGGGGGCAGGAGACTCTGCGCTGTTCTCTTCCAGGCAATAAATCATCGAGGAAAATATATATATATATATATATATGCATATATATATTTTCAGATATATATACCAAAGCTCACATCACCCAAACTTGAACAACATGTTGGTGATATCCTATAGAATGTCTCAATGGGTCCTGCCAAAATAGAACAATCCTCACACTGTTTCCCATATGAACACTTTTTTGTGAGCCTGTTCAGCAGTTCTTCATAACAGACAATATGAAATATATTGTTTCAGTTAAGTTTTGGGACAGGGATTGGGATTTGGGATGGAAACATCCCCAATTTGGTGGTGGGAAGGTATGACGGTGGTGGGATGGGTGTTTGAATATTAAATGTAATCAAATATTGTGAACTAACATATAAAATAAAAGGTAAAGGTAAAGGTAAAGGCCCTCCCGTTGATCGTCGATTTGCTCGAGCGGGCCCAGTAACGTCTCCATTGGAGACTTTGTTGTTACTGTGTCTGGCATATCGAATACTCTGGGTAGCTTGCCGGGCTCTCCGAGAGGGGCGGAGGAATCGAACTCGGGTCGGCCGTGTTGGCCGCGTGTAAGGCGAACGCCCTACCCGCTGTGCTATCGTTCGCCTTACAAGCGGCCAACATGGCCGACCCGAGTTCGATTCCTCCGCCCCTCTCGGAGAGCCCGGCAAGCTACCGAGAGTATTCGATATGCCAGACACAGTAACAACAAAGTCTCCAATGGAGACGTTACTGGGCCCGCTCGAGCAAATCGACGATCAACGGGAGGGCCTTTACCTTTACCTTTATAAAATAAAAATATTTGAAAAAAAAGCAGAAGGGAGAAGGCATGCTACATGAGAGCAAAAACATGTGTAACTTGAGAATAATGCCCAGTGATCTTGTCATCACCGTGATTTTCATTAAGGTCATTTGAACTGTATCTTGTGTCTCCAACTCAGCCCCTTAAAGGTGATTTGGAAGAATTCGGAGCAAGTTTTCTGCTCTAGGTCCCTCACCGTCGAAACTGAATGGCCCAACGCAGTTCTTCTGAGAACGCTGGGCTCACAGAGCAAGGGCGACTGCCTCGCGTGGGCTCAGCCTGCAGCTGGAAGTCGTGCTTTGGCAAGAACGGGAGTCGTTTGTTTCTTGCACAAAGAGAAAAGCATTATTTCAACCAGATCGTTGGTTAGAATCGCTTGTTTGTGTGCATTTTAGGATTCAAATACAGATGTTCCAAAACGTTTCCACTGTGGGGAGCAGCTGCCGCTATTCCTGCGCAGAAATCTCCCCGAGTTAATATACAAAGGCAGAGGGAACCTTGGTGGCAAACGCAGCATCTGCAAGAGGTGGGGCCTGTGATTTCCCCATAGATAGCAACACTTCAGACTCTTGTTAACAGCCCGAAACCATCTTTCAGATCTCAGCTTTATTCTAGGGAACCAGGACAAAGAGGAGTGATTAATCTGTAATTCACAGAGCTGATAAATATCATTGCACGTTCTTTGCCCAGGGGCTGTCAAACACTGGACTTCCTTTTCTGTGGCAAACGAACGAGAGATGTTTGGCCCTCATGGGTGATGATTTCAGTTGTCATGACAAGCGCCTTCCAACAGAGAACACAGCCCAGCCAGCCTGCGGGACCCAAACACCCATCCGCATCTTAGTGGAACCTTCACAGAGGACCTGAATGTTTACCCAGGATGTTCACACAGCCCTCCATCCATTTGATGTCATTTTAGCCCCTGGGAAGCCAGCAAATACACTTCCATAGCCAGCACCGTTCATGAATTTTTTAGAACGCAGGCAGAGAAATAGCAATGACTTTATCAGGCTTACCCAGAGATTGCCTCAGAGCCAGCATCCTCGTCCAGCCATTCAGACACTAGACCGAACCTCTCTCATTTCAGAGGCTGTGTGCTTCGTAAATCACAGCATCCTTTCTAGGCCTCTTGGTTTCCTGGACACCCACGGCCCGGATTCCAGCTTGACAGGATGGCCTGGTAATGGCAAGGTACCAACTGAAGAGTAAATGCAGGCCTGCCTCCTTCCCCATCCCCCTCCGCCTCTACACACACACACACACACACACACACACACACACACACACACCAGGGAGGAAATGCCCAAATGCTCTCTCTCCTTATGTTAGGGGAGCTTCAGCAAGACAGTGCCTGTGTCTGCCTGGCATCTCGGGAAATGCAGAACCCAAGGCTGAAGATCCCAGGGCTATCATTTGGACTTGCCAGGAACCATAAGTTTCTAAGAACAGTGATGCTCAGGGTGTTGTTCCTGCCCCAGGCCTTATAAATCCATCCCCTGCAGTGTTCACGGGCTCATTGCCTCCAACCAGATCCCCTCTTTGGAATTATCTAGTGAATTATTTATGGTTTACACATTTGACAGAGGCTTATGGCTCAGCGAGGAAGCACTCCGTTCCTGGCTTACTGATGATGCCCAGAAATGCCGGTCTGGAAGACAGGGGAAGTTCAGGGGCTCCAGGTCCCAGAGCTAATAAAGGGCAGTGCAGTTTCTGAAGCGAGTGTGTCCGACTCTGGGTCATAGCGGCTCCGTAATGAAAGAGCCATGTGTCTTACGCCCAAGACGACCAAGATTTGCGGCGGGAGGTTTTGTGGACTGTGTCCTACTCCCTCGCCAGGCTTGGATAGAGAAGAATCCCAGTGGGTAAAGAGAGGAGAGCTCGGGACAGAGCTAGAGGAAGGAGGCCGAATCTGGCCCGCAGCCAAGCGGGAGAAAGAGACTTCTGGGGCAGTGGTGGGACACTTGTGAGCAGGGCAAAGGCTCGTGTGCTTGGTGCTGACAGAGACCCCGCTTCCGGTGCTGACAGCGTCGCTGCTTCTGCCAGAATCACACTCAGAGCTCACGAATGTCAGGGAATTTGCTCTGTTCTCCACCCCTCGTGTGTGTTGGGGGTGAAGTGGTGGTGGTGGAGGGGAGGGGGAGAGGGGGCAAGGGGAGGTGGCAATTTCTAAATATCGATTTCCTCTTGTTTCTCTAAATCTTTCTGGGCACTGCAACTTAAAATGCTATGGAACCTTTTCACCTTTCCCCAAGTTGGGATGACATGTACATCCCCAGCTTTGGGCCCCCTCCCCCCCACCCTCCCAAGGGTCATTTGGCAACTGGCCACACCCTTTGCTCTCCCTGGATCCAGCATTCAGGTCAGGAAAGAGGCGCATCGTGAAGAAGGGGGAGAGGAGCTATTTCTAGCTCCAAGTTCTGGGCACAGGGTGAAAAGGAAGGAGGGGGAGGGGAGGCGAGCCTCCGGCTCTCCAGATATCCCGACTGACCTGCCCTGAAGAACCTTGTCCATCAGCACAGGATAGGAGGCACCCAGGAAGAGTCCAAAACCTTTGGGCCACGGGGCTGGAGCGATAGCACAGTGGGTAGGGCGTTTGCCTTGCACGTGGCCAACCCAGGTTCGATTCCCGGCATCCCATAGGGTCCCCCAAGAACCGCCAGGAGTAATTCCTGAGTGCATGAATCAGGAAGAATCCCTGTGCATCACTGGATTTGACCCAAAAAAACAAACAGAACCTTTGGGCCATCTCCTTTGTTCCTTTTGGTTACCCCTATGTCTTTTACAGCCAAGCAAATCATTTCCAGTCAGTGTTATAAAAAAAAAAAATGCAGGGAAAACGTATCCTCTTTACACACATGCACGAGTGACAAGCAGAGCCCAGGGGCCGGGAAGATACATTTCTGCAGAGACTGACTTTGGAAGACCCTCTCAGGGAGAAAAGTTGAAAGAGCCACTGTGGCATGGACATGAGTATGAGTGTGTGTGTGTGTGTGTGTGTGTGTGTGTGTGTGTGTGGGATGGGGGGAGGGGGCGGCGTGGAATCCAGTGGAAACCCCGCAGCCCTACTGTGCAGAGGGTTTAGGTTGAAAATTACCCACCGTTTCCCTCCGGGGATCATCCAGGGCTCATCTCTCTGTTGGAGCCCCCACTTATGATGTCACTCGAAGGGACAAGGGCAGAAGCACGGGAATTTCCTGTGAGTCCCAGGTCCTGGCCTCTGTAGTCATCACTTGAGATGTTTCGCCCTCCACAGCCAGAGCAGGGTTACAAGGTTGCTTCCCTCCTGGGCACTTTTCGCACTGTGTTACGTGTAACGATTCATTTTGCTCTTCAGCTTTTTCGGAACACATTGGTGCCAGCCTCCAGTGGCGGCTCACGCTTGGATGTGACTTAATGCAAATTTCAGCACCGGCATCCACAGAGGCTGCTAGCATATTAGAAAGGCCACTAGTGGGACTGGAGCGACAGCACAGCAGGTAGGGCATTTGCCTTGCACGCGGCTGACTCAGGTTCGATTCCCAGCATCCCATATGGTCCCCCGAGCACCACGAGGAGTAATTCCTGAGTGTATGAGCCAGGAGGGGCCCCTGTACATCACCAGGTGTGACACAAAAAACAAAAAAGAAAAAAAAAGGCCACTATGTTCCTAAGGTGATGGTCATGTGGACGGCAGCCTGATCTTCTGGGGGTGGGAATTGAAAGTGGCTGATAACGCCCCCATGGTCATTTCTTTGCAGTTTTCCACTGACTCATGCTCACTCTGTTCTGTCCAGGTCCACCAGGAATTGGAGTTGGATGATGACAGCAAACTCAGGAGCATTTTTCTTTTTGCTTTTTGGGTCACACCCAGCGATGCACAGGGGTTCCTCCTGGCTCTGCACTCAGGAATTACTCCTGGGGGTGCTCGGGGGACCATATGGGATGCTGGGAATTGAACCCGGGTGGGCCACGTGCAAGGCAAATGCCCTACCCGCTGTGTTATTGCTCGAACCCCGCATTTTTCTTTTCAGCTGAGATAAACCACAGCCATTTTCTGGTGGGCTTTCATTTCTCAGATTTATCACTCCCCCCTCTCTTTTTTCTCTCTCCCTCTAGGCAGCCTCATCAGCCCTGAGCAGTCTGGGCCACGTGTACACTGCCATTGGCGACTACCCCAACGCACTTGCCAGCCACAAGCAGTGTGTCCTCCTCGCCAAGCAATCCAAAGACGAGCTCTCCGAAGCGCGAGAGCTTGGCAACATGGGAGCTGTGTACATCGCCATGGGTGACTTTGAGAATGCCGTGCAGTGCCACGAGCAGCATCTGAAGATTGCCAAGGAACTGGGCAACAAGCGCGAGGAGGCGCGCGCCTACAGCAACCTGGGCAGCGCCTACCACTACCGGAGGAACTTCGACAAGGCCATGTCCTACCACAATTACGTGCTGGAGCTGGCGCAGGAGCTGATGGAGAAGGCCATCGAGATGCGGGCCTACGCGGGCCTGGGCCACGCTGCCAGGTGCATGCAGGACCTGGAGAGGGCTAAGCAGTACCACGAGCAACAGCTGGGCATCGCGGAGGACCTCAAGGACCGGGCAGCCGAAGGGCGAGCGTCCTCCAATCTGGGTAAGACCCCACGTTCCGGGCCAGAGAGATCATCCAGGACTCAGGGCACTTGTCTTGCTTGACGGTGACCCCAGTTGCATCCCCAGCGTCGCAAATGCTCCTGTACCCGCCCAGGAGTCATCCCTGAGCACAGAGCTAGGAGTAAGCCCTGGGCTCGGCCATGGGTGGTCCAGTCCCCTACAAAATGACAATAAAACAAAGAGAAATAATAAAGATGGCAAGGTCCAGGATCCAGGCATGGGTTGGAAATCGCTGAAGCTGGAGGTGCCCATCAATTTTTTTTTCAGGAATCAGTGTATTTGTATTCCAGATACTTGCTTCATAGTGTGTGTGTGTGTGTGTGTGTGTGTGTGTGTGTGTGTTGTATATTTCCCTGAGCTCTATTTCCCTGGAGCCTGCTTGCTTTAAATCACACCCTCCTGTCACCGCAGTGCTCTAAGGATCAGAACGCTGAATCCCGGGAGGAACAAACATCCCAACCTTCTAATCTGTCCAGAGAAAAGAGTGATCAGATTTATCTAATTAAAGAGGAGGGTAATGAAATGAGGATACAAAGCTACATTTGGTTTAAATGAAAGAGAAGCGGTTAGGTGATCATCAACGAAAGGGGATTTGAGAGGAGTTTTGCTTACTGGGATTTCTTGACTTTAACTTTCCAGAAAATATTGGGGGTTTTTCCCCCCCTCTCAAAAGTAAGTGTATTCACAAGTATGAGCAACCCCACCCCCTGGGGTCGGCCAGGCAGGGTTCGTTTTAATAAAACTAGCTGAAGTATTTTTTGAATGCTTTATTTAAAATAAGATTTATGATCCTTGTTTTGGGGAGTACATGGGGACCATAAAGATGTTTGTCAAATATGAGGAAATCTGTTTGTAACGGTAAGAGGCATTAAGATTTGGTAACTACTCTGTAGAAGATATTGTTATCATATCCTCACATATTTGTGGATAACTAGTGAGCAACAGGCAGGAACAGATGTTTCTGGAAACAGCCACAGAGCTCAAGCCTTGGTGAAGGAACCGAGAGCCCCAGCTCCCGCTCAGGCCGAGGGTCTCAGCCTGGAGAGAGGATAGAAAGTACCAGTATTCCCTAGTGGATTCTCATTAGATCATCCTAGCAGCTGAATGCCCAGGGGAGCCCTTTTTAATGACAGAACCTAAAAATCCAGGGTACCCCGAGGTACCCCTGTCTTTCTCTCAACCCTTAGCACGCCTCCCTCTGACTGTGTGTGTGCAAATGGATTATGAGTAGAGGTGTTAGAAAAGCAGTCTGGAAATCCTTGAAGATGACTCAGAAAGCAAGGCTGAGCCCAGAGTAGATCGAGAGTCTGAGGACCCTGTCCAGAATCGCCTTGTTACGTTGACGAAAGTGTGTACACCACACGTCTGAGGTACTGCATCTCAGAGTGGTTGCCCTTTTTTTTCATCCTTACTCTTCAGGAGCTTATCAGTTCATTGAGAAAATAGGGTTAAGGCCTAGGCAGACAGAATCTTCCCCGAGAGACAGTGCTGAAGGGGCTGTTGTAAAATTCCCAGGAGGGAGAAGCATGAGGATGCGAAGCGTTTGTCCCCCCTCTGGGGGACCTTATAGAACAGGGGAGACTTGTCAGGGATAGGGTGGCACCGACGATGAGGGACACGTGAAGAAAAGATGACTTATGACTAGGCCAGCCTCTTCAAGGGATGATAGCATGATTGATTAGCCTACAGGGATTGTTCTGGGGGGCTCGGTAGAAGATTAGTATGAAAACCAGGCCAGTGAACAGGAACTCCTGACGTTTTGAAATGTAGGAGTGAGGTGTTTTAGATAGAGCGTTAAGGAAGATTAGCTGATTGGGAAGGCAGTGACAAACTGTGACAGAGGATTGGAGGATTGATTAGAAGTTTTGGGACTGGAACTTGAGCAGACTCAGTGCGTTATTCAGATTTCCTTTTTGTGTTAGGTTGGTTTGGGGGGGGGGGGTGCTCCCAAGAAATGCTCAGAGGACTTGGGGCCACTCCTGGCACTGCTCAGCCAACTGGGTTGGACTCTTTGGTCTGATGCTGCTTGGGTGCTGCAGTGCCAAATACCACCCAGGGGGCACCACCAGGGGCACACCCAAAAGTGCTCAGTGGGCTGTGCTGTAGGGTCAAACGGGGTCCTGTGCCTGATGCCCAAACTCTCCTGTGCCATCTCCCCAGCCCATTGTGCCATGTTCCATAAGTTGTATTTTCCAGTGATTACTCATTTCATCTGGGCTGAATGTGTTGGCAGGAATTTACTTACAATACTTCCTTATTTCCTTTTTTATGATTGTAGGATGTATATTGGTCATGCCTTCTTTTGTTTCTGTTCCTGGTCATTTGTGTTTTGCTTCTGGAAACCCCATCCCTCTTTCTGGATCATTCTACGTAGAGATTGATTTTTTTTTATTTTTTTAACAATTTGGTTTTTGTTTTGCCATACCTGGCAGTGCTCAGGGCTTATCCCCGGCTCTTTATAGTCCATTTCCAAATTGGGTAATGAGATATCTCCCAGTTCCTTATTTTACACTACGGTTTTAGTGATTTGGGGTCTTTTCTGATTCCATACAAACTTTATTACAGGTTGTTCTAAGTACTTTAAGATTGTGATCTGAATTTGAATGGGGAATGCGTTGAATCTATATGATAATTTAGGTAGGATGTATGTTTTGACAGTGTTGATTCTTCCAACCCTTGAGCATGGATGATTTTTCTCATTTCCTAAGGTCTTTTACTATCTCTTTTTTTAAGTGATTTAAAGTTTTTATGGTATAGATCTCCATGTCTTTTGTTAAGTTTATTCCTAGATACCTGATGATTTTGAACACCATTTTGAACAGGATGGACTCTTTGATTGCATTCTTCTCTGATTCATTATTTGCATAAAAGGATGCATTTAATTTTTATGTATTGACTTGATAGCCAGCCATTGTGCTATCTTGTTTCTAGGAGTCTTTCTGTGGACCCTTTAGGATCTTCTCTGTATACTATCATGTCACCTGCAAATAATGATAATTTGACTTCTTTTCCAATTTGCACCTTTATTTTTTTCTTTCCTGATTGCTGTAGATAGGATTTCTAATATTATATTGAATAACAGAATATACAGTGGACAGCTTTGCCTTGTACTGACCTCAGGGAATGCTTTCAGGTTTTCACCATTTAGAGGGATACTGCCTATGGGCTTGTAATAGATGGCTGCTACTATCTTGAAGCTTCCTTCCACCCCTACTTTTTTTCTGCAATTTTATACATTTTATTTTTATAAAGTAGTTCACAATAGTTCATTACAGTTAAATATTCAAACACCCACCCCACCAGCGAGCATCTTCCCACCACAAAAAGAGGGAAGTGTGTGAAGGTTGTTGCATTTCATTCTGGAGCCATTTAAGCCCGTATATGAGAATACAAGCAAGTATGTTAAAACCAACCAAATGTGTACTACTTTAGGAACACCAGTGGGCTAGAGTATAAGAGGTTTGCGGCCATGTGCTCCAGGAAATACTGTATCTCTCTCTTCCAGGAGTTTTATAGTCTCTGGATCTTGGCCATTGATGAGATTGCATGGCACCAGGGGCAGTTTGTGGGTGTGACTGCCAAGCTACTGGAAAACTAGGGAGCTGGGTGGAGGAGGCCCAGTCCCATTGATGGTTTTGATATGAATGACTGTTGAACCTTATCAAAACTTTCTTTGCATCAATTAATATGATAATATGCTTTTGAGCTTTCATTTTATTAATGTGATGTATTATGTTCATTGATTTGCATATGTTGAACGATTATCTTGATTTTTTTAAAGAATTAACTTTTACTTTAGTTATTTATTTAAGTGCTTGTGGGGCTGGAGTGATAGCACAGTGGGTAGGGCGTTTGCCTTGCATGCGGCCAACCCAGGTTTGATTCCCAACATCCCATATGGTCCCCTGAGCACCACCAGGAGTGATTCCTGAGTGCAGAGGCAGGAGTAACCCCTGTGCATCGCCGGGTGTGACCTAAAAAGCAAAAAAAAAAAAAGTTATTTATTTAAGTGCTTGTCAGTTTGCAAGTTTATTTTTGTTTTTTATCATTTTCTTTTTATCTACTTACTTTGGCTATTATTTGTTTTTATCTTTGTTGAATTCAAAGAATCTCTAAAATAATTTGTAGCTTTTCTCTAAACCCTATGTTGTTCAGAAGTGTTGCTTAATTTTAAAACAGTTGGGATTTTTCTATGCACATCATTGTTATCTAATTCTAGTTTCATGTCATTGTGGCCAGAAAACACCCTGTAGAATTTCCGCAAGGTACAGAGCCCCTCAAAATAGGGTCCAGTTAGGTTCAGCTAGTTGAAGATGTCTTAATTGGCTTTGTTTCTATTTTTTTTTAATCTGTATGTTTTGCCAATTGGTAGGAAGGAAATGGTTAAAATCTGTAGTATTCATTGTGGATTTGTTTGTCCTTCTTTTAATTCTTTGAAACTTTGCTTCCTGTAATTTGAAACGCTTTGGGTGAATATTCATCTGTGATCATTTTGTATTCCTGACAGATTGGCCCTTTTATCATCACGGAATGTTCCCTTTTTTGTTTTACCATCGTTCGTGCCTTTTGGTCTTGAGGTCTGCTTTATATGATATGCGTATTCTCACTCCAGCTTGGTTATGTTTATTGTTTATGTGGTTCATCTTTCTCCATCTATTTGCTTACCCTCTTCCGTGTCTTTATATTTAAAGTTTATTGAGTACACATGACATATAGTTGGAACTTGCATATTTTTTAAAGATTTTCATAATTATGGTCTTCTACCTAGAGAATTTTATTCTTTTCAATTTTCTCTAATTACTGTTTTTGTTATATTTGGGCCTATCATTTTTCTGTTAGTTTTTGTTTGTCCCGTATAATTTGTTCTTTGTTCTTAACCTTCTTTGGGTCGACTTAATGACGTATACTTAATTTTATTTTTCTTTGCATTGGCTTTTAATGCTTCCTCTGTGAGATTAAATTATATATCTTTAACTTCTA